AATCCCGACAAGTTAGCCCGCATTAGGTTAGGGTTAGTGTTAGTTCCGGTCAATTTTTGTCGGGATTTTGTTTGTCGAGAAACGTTGCCGGGAAAATAGAAACTCCTATCAGTCATGTAAAACTGTAAATGATAAACCATGTAATTCGTTATCATTATTGTATTGATAACTAGATTAGAATGAACTATAAGCTACCGATATATAATAATATCTTTTTCTGTGAAAATCTTTATGTATTCGCGTTTGCTGATATCAATTACCAAATCTGCCTTGTATTAAAAAAGTATATAAATGTAATCTCTTGGTCTCCTACACGTTTACTTTCACTTATGTTCAAAGTTATTTAATCTTCACTAAACACCATTTTTTTTAAATAAAATTATATGATCCGAGTTAGGGATTGGGCCTTGGTAAAAACTATAATTATATAGCTATTGAAGAATAATTATTCCTCATAAACCGTGTAAACTAATAATACCTAGGTAAAGGTTTTCTCAACGGAACCAAACTTTAATCCGAGATGACAACAGAAACTAATACAGATAAGAAAGATGATAATCCAATCTATAATAATGCTAATGGAAAAATTCATGATGAAGAAAAAAATATTGAACCAACATTTTTGGATGATGACCTTGAATTGATCTCAGCTGTAAGTTATAAAATCTTATTCATTACTTCAACATCTTTTTTGTATCTTCTTTAAATTATATTCAAAAATGTTAGGCCGTTAATACAAATGATGATCCAACCTTACCATGTTTGACTTTTCGATTTTGGCTGCTAAGTACTGTAAGTTTTATTGGTCAGGAACATTCGGAGCGAAACGTTTATGTTACATGATCTCCATATTTTATTGCAGTTCCAATCAACTCACCGACAGTCATTTTACCGAATGCTCATTTAGCAGACATGATTTGAAACATTTGATTAGTTTCTGGTATATATTTTTACTAAGCTTCACCTGGCGTGATGTCGTCTAAATGAGCTGTCGGTGAAATAATTGTCGAAATAATACGGTCCCATTTTATTGATCGACAAATTTGATTTTATTTCATAATATAGTTCTTTACAGCACTAGGTGCCTTTATATCGGTAGTCTTCTTCTTTCGTATAAATGGTACAGGTTATTCTATATTTTTCGTGATACTTGTATCCTATGCTCTGGGAAAATGGTTGGGAAAAATCTTGCCGAATAAGAAGATTTGCATTAAAAATTGGAAATTTAATCTAAATTCAGGTTTATCATTTTTACAAATATTTATTATTTGAATCTTTGTTCATTTATAGTGCATAATTATTGTGCGTCGATTCACAGGTCCTTTCAATTATAAGGAACACGCATGCATATTAGTTGCGGTTGGCTCAGGTGGTTTGAGTGCATATGCTGTGGTATTATTCATATCTATATCTTTAATCTCGAAGGGTTTTTTTTATTGGTTTCAATATTTCTTTCAATATTTATCTTTTCGCACTTTATTTATAGGACATTATCTCAGTCCAAGAATTATTTTATAACACTCGAGTCAATTTCTTAACTGGTTTTCTGTTACTGATTAGCACACAAATGATTGGATATGGACTTACTGGCTTTGTTCGAAAATGTATGTATCATTATTATTTGAAATATATGTAATATTTACTCAAAGCAATTAATATTTATACTTAAATTTCAATTAATTCTCTAATGTTAATTATATTTAGTTTTGGTTCGTCCAATTAACATGATATGGCCTTCATCTCTCATTTTGGCTAGTTTGTACAATACACTACATAACAATACTTCAGATACAAATAAAAAAATTCGACTTTTTTATATCGCATTTATTTTAATATTCATTTGGCAATTTGTACCAGAATTCATGTTTCCTTGGCTAATCAGCGCTGCTGTGCTATGCCTTATCGCCCCAAATAATAATGTGGTAAAGTTCTTAGGAAGTGCTTATAGAGGTGCTGGTGTTCTTAATTTCTCCTTTGATTGGAATGCTATTGGTTCAAGTGCTCTGGTTACTCCATGGTAACAAATCTTTGTTTCTAATTCTTGTTTGTATATAATTTATTTTAATATATATATATATATATATATATATATATATTTATATATTTTGACTATTATTTTTCCTATAATTTAGGTGGTCTCAAATGAATTATTATTTTGGCACCATTATATCAGTATGGATTATTGGTCCGTTGTTGTACTTTAATAATGTCTTGTTAGTAATTATTTAACTATTATATCATTTAACTATTGTAGAATTATATAATTTAGTTATTATAGAATTATATTATTTAGTTATTATAGAATTATATTATTTAGTTGTTATAGAATTGTATTATTTGCTTTTGTAGAATTGTTAAATATTTCTACCTATTAATTTGCTAACTCTATTTAGTGATGCCAAAAAATTTCCATTTATATCGCCTCTTTCATTCGATAAAGACGGAAACATGTAAGTATTATACTTTTTATTTGTTAAATTATGTGAATAATACATTTATTTATTTATTTATTTATTTAATATTTATCTATCTGTTTATATATTTATTTTATAGTTATAACCAGACAAGAGTCATTGATCCAATAACTGGTGCACTCAATGTTACTGCATACGAAAATTATAGTCCTGTATATATTACTGCCACACTGGCTAATTTTTACGGCATGAGTTTCATGATAATTCCCGCCACCATTTGTCATGTGATACTATTTTACGGGAAAGAACTATGGAATCAATACAAAAAAACTCGTGAAGAGGAGAATTCTGATATTCACTGCAAAATGATGGATGTTTATCCAGGTTTTATAAATATTTTTTTTCATTTATTCATTTATAATGATTATTGAGCCAGTTTTTAAATTTTTTATGTTGATAACAGAAGTACCACATTATTGGTATACTTCTATTTTTGTTGTCATGTTAATAATCGCACTTATCCTCTGCTATACAACTGGGGCGAATTTACCTTGGTGGGGATTATTGTTAGCTGTTGCTATTTCTGCGTTTATGATACTTCCAGTTGGTATAGTATTTATAATCACTTGTTTAAATAATCTTATTTAAATTATCTGAATAATCTTGTTTAAAATTATTCTTGCCTATTTATAGGAGTTATTCAGGCCATTTCAAATCAGGGAATTGGTTTAAACGTTATAGCCGAATTGCTGTGCGGTTTTATTTTACCAGGTCGTCCCATTGCAAATGTATATTTTAAAACGTATTCAACTATTACTTTATTTCAATGTTTGTCATTTGTTGAAGATTTAAAATTGGGTATGTTTTCTTTTTTAAAAAAAAATTTTACTGGTATCAAAATTATTCAAACATTGATGTTTTTTTTTAATATTAAAAGGCCATTATCTGAAAATTCCTCCAAGAAGCATGTTCATATCACAAATATGGGGTACATTTGTTGGCATAATTGTAAACTATTGGACGTTGAATGTTTTAATTAATACGAAAAGACCTTACCTTGATGGTACAGAAGCTGATCCAAGCGGTCAAGTTAGTAACTTTTTCTTTAATCATAATGTTTGTTTTTAAACAATATTCTCTAAAACTTGCATATGTAGTGGGCTGGCCTAGGTTCGGAAGCCTTCAATACCGCATCTATAATATGGGGATTGATTGGACCGGCAAGGACTTTCGGGGTATGTTAAATCAAATAAATGCTACAGTACAGTATTTTATTATTGAAGTGGTAAATTGTGCATAAATCTAATATTATTTTGTTTCCTGTAGCCTGACTCAATGTATAATATACTCCTTTGGGGTTTCCTAATTGGTGGCTTTTTACCAATACCATTTTATTTCCTTCATAAAAGATTTCCAAAGTCAAAATTTAATCTCATAAATATGCCTATAATATTACAAGGTCTATGTGGTTTAGTCACAGGTTATCCAAATTTTATAGTCTCTGGGTTCATTGCTGGTTTTATAAGTCAATTTTATACACGTCGTTATAGAAAAGGGTAAGTATACGACCTTATTATATCTATTTATTATTATAAATAAATAAATTTAAAGTTAAAATTTATTAATTGATTATTTATAGGTGGTGGATGAAGTAGGTCTTTTTTTCTTTTATAATCAGTAATTTAAAAATAATGCTCATTCATTTATGTATTATAGGTATAATTATGTAATGGCTGCAGCATTTGATAGTGGTGCACAAATTATGACAATGGTATCTTTTATTTTTCTTAACGGTATTATGCAAGTAAGTTATTTATTTAATTAATTAATATTTCTGCTAGTCCCTATGTATAAATTTCAAGTATTATTTTTTTATACATATTGTTTAATACACTTTATTCTCTAGGTACAATTTCCAACTTGGTGGGGTAATGATCCATCGACTCAAAATGAGCATTGCTTTCCTATAGATAGTAAACTGCCTCAGTTTTAATAGAGTATATTAGGCCACGCAAAGTTAATTTTTCGTTTTGCATAACCCGCCGACCCATTTTTTCAAATTTTCAAAATTTTTTTT